CTATTGTTATATCACTCTGAAGCAACAGGCATCTACTTTCACCAAGAAAGCTTAAACAACCTGTACATTGCCAGCTCAGCAAGAAACGCCTGAAAAATGTAGTTAATCAATGGATGTTAAGCACACTGCAGCAGCGTTTCCAAAGGTAATTAGACTGATCTCTAAGGGTTGTAGAGGAAGCACCAATTAAAGAACAGTGGACATTATATACTGTCTTCCACTGTCATTTTAATCTTTCACTTATATCTCCCTTCTAAAATCTCAGAAGACACAACAACTCGATTATATATGTTAATTCACAAGGATGAATGTTAGTTAACAGCTAACAAGCTGTTTATTTGGGTGCTTTTTTAATCAGAGACATTTCTACATGATGGTAAATACAGCTTCACACAAAACAAAAATGGTAAATGGCCTGTACTGATATGGTGCTTTTTTTAGTCAGAGGACTAGACCAAAGCACTTTACACTACATTCAGTCATTCACCTATTCACATTCACACAGTGATGGTGGCAAGCTACATTGTAGCCCCAGCTGCACTTGAGCTCGCTGGGAGAAGCAAGGCTGGCGTACACTGTGGCTACCAGTCCCTCTGACTACCATCAGTAGACAATGCAGGTGAAGTGTCTTGCCCAAGGACACAATGACCCTGAAAGGACTTAATCGACAACCCTCGGGTTGCAGGGAAAACTCCTTCATCCGAACCCACTGTCGCCCCCTGGGATGACAGAGGATGTTTGTTATAAAATCAAAAACGTCCTCTCACAAAATGAATTTTTTTCTAATTTGATCAGAAAGTCTTTTGCAATGTGTATCAGTACTTCTTCTTGGATTGCCTGTCTTTAGCACCATCTACAGTATATCACCACCAATCTGACAAATGCCTTGTCTTATTAGAGGAGTTGTGGCAAGGCAACAATGTAAGTAGGAAATAAGGAGCACCATGGTAACTGAAATGATGTCATAAATCAACCAATAAACCTACACCAGTTTAACATGAAACACTGGCATCGAAATGAACATAAAATGCAACATCTTGTCATGGGCTTGGTTCTGTTCTTTACTTTGCTACTTGTTTTCTAGTTTTATTGGTTTAATTCCAGTTTTGTTGTAATTTCTAGATTTATGTTAGTTCTCATGTTTTTCTGTTGTCCTCTGTTGCCCTCTTGTGTGTGTGTGTTCCTTTCCCCTTGGCGCCCTCGTTGTCTCCTCTCCCACCTGCTTCTTGTCAGCTCGTTAGCCCTCCCTTTGTCTCCGTCAGCTATATATGCTCTCCCTCTGCTCTCACTCTTTGTTGGTTCTTTGTCTTTGCTGTCTTCCCATGCTGTGGTCTACGTTCCTCGTCTCTCCCTGGCTCCTCATGTTTGGTTTTCCCTTGATGTCTCCATGGTTCTGGTCTGCGTTTCATTATTAGTTGGATTTTTGGTTTCCTGCCTTTGTTAAACAGTTTCCTTTAATTAAATCCACAAAAAATCTCCTCAGCCTCTCTGCCTCTGCATTTGGGTCCTCCAAACCCTGACACATCTAGATGGAGAAAAATACCAAGAGATTTAGTAAAAAGCAATGAGAAGTTTATATGTAACATAAGGTAGTTGTAATGATTATATTTCATGCATTACACACGTGGCAGCTGGCCAATAGAGGGCGCCACCCAACTCACCCAATGACCCTGATTAAGAGTTTAAAAAAATAAAAATTTACATTTTTTTATAATTAAATTTTAAATTCAAATGTAAAATTTTTAATAATATATTGATATATTTCTTAGATGTGCAAGATAAATATTTTATCTTTAATGACGATTAAAGCTTCGACTCCTTTTTCGACCGGGCTTGCGACAGATTTTTCGCCCTAGGGTTGTTTACCCAATGTTTACCCTTCGACTCTCGTTAAAAGTTGTACATCTGCAGTAGCTGCTCTGCAAGACAAATGTATAGGACGGCCCAGGGTGTAGCCAAGCAGCAACCGGAGGTGACAGGAAGCGTATTTGCTCAGCACCTCCCGCCACAGCAAAGACGTTTTGCGGGTGATTGACATCTTAATTTGAGGAGTTGGAGACACCTTCGAGAGAGAGAAAAATACCGCAAGAAAAAATCTATTCAGTGAAGTCCCTTTAAAGCAATACCTTTTGAGCAGAGAACTTACCAAGAGAAGCGGACTAAGTCAGATGGGGTGCCCATGAAAATCCTAGTGTTTTATGTTCTCATTTTAACTGAATTGGGTACTTCAATTAATTTGTGTCATTATTTATTCCACCTATATTGATACCATCAATTGATTTAATTCATTTTATGTAGAGTCCAAATAACATATTAGACATTCTGGGGACCCCCTCTTGGGGCTGCCAAATGGTTTAGACCACCAGACAGCAACCAGCGACCAGTGAGAACAGTTTAAATTACCTTTGGGCTAGGTATCATGCTGATAAAAAAGCATAAATCCAGGTAACAAGAGCATAAAGAAATGGAAAAACATTAAAGTGGGAAAAAGGAGAGGAAGCTGTTGACTACTTTATTTCCCAAAGGTAAACCCAGTTCACTTGTGATGCAAAGTCTGGTTGAAGTTAACATAGCCCACTCCAGACAGCTGCTGCTGGTGTTTGTATGCCCAGGTGAAGTTTTCAGCACAGCTAGTCGCCAGGCTGATTGTGGCTCTAAGTGTAAAGACAATGCTGGGCCAGCCAATGTTAGTTGTCAACACTAACTAGTTTTACAAACAAACAATAGCGTTGACCAAGCTGCAACAGCTGTCACCCGTTCTTGCTGGGCAAATTGAGTTCATTAGGCTATTTCGGTAAAGTAACAACAAAATACCCACCGTGCTACTAGCAGAGACAGGAAAACTATTAAAAATACAGGGAATTTTTCTCTTTCCTATGGGTCAGACAACTGCTCAAAAACAGTACTGTTACTTTCCCTTGCGGAACCTGCAGGTACAGCTTACCTTGGGTTCGATCTAACCTACTGACAACCTCACTCTCTGTCCCTCTCCTCTGATGTGCTGAAAAGAATGTTCCTCGTTTTTGTCAGCACATCAGATCTGTTGTGCGTCTTTTTCTTTTTTTGCTCACCAACATTGAGAAGGCAAAGGGCTCAAAATCTGGTGCAACGTCCCTGCTGCGGAGAGACTCTTCGCTGTGTTGTACATATGCGTGGAGCAAAATACAGTGTAGTCTCAAGGAGACCTATTTTATAACTGTTAGATGTAGCAAAGGTTTGAGAAGAGATATCTGGTTCACCCTCCAGCATGATATAACCCTAAACGTACGACCAGAGTTACAATGAAATGTTTGTCAAAATTACCTACTAAAAGAGTTTAATGAAAAGCTTAGGTGAGAGAAGCCTAGGTAAGACTTAAATATCAATGCCAACTAATGTTTCTCATACTTTCTTACTGAGCCTGAACTATTTCAGGTTGTAAATGTCCAAATCTGGTAGAGGCATACTCTAGCTGTAACTGCAGCAAAGGCTTCCAACTGGTTTGTCTGACTTTATTCTAGGGTATAAATTGAAAATAGAATATTGAAACTGAATAAAGTCAGTCACCAAAAGAAGGTAGAAGATGGTGAAATAATCATTTTTATTTGTCATTTCTTGCAAAATTATAACAGACAAACATTACCTACATCTGGTGTGTTCTCTACTGAGTAGTGACCTGATTGTGATATTAACCTGGATAAGCAATCAACATAAAAAAAAAACAGGAATCAAGATAAAGGGTGCCACTTTTTTAAAAGAATTTGATTTGCAACATTGTTTTATGTCACTTCATAATTACTGTATGCACCATTTTTTAACAGGAAATTCTCAGCTACAGCTGCTGCTCCCAGGGCGATGCACAATGGCAGCCCACCACTCCCCAAAGGTATGGGCTAAATGCAGATAGTGAATTTTGATGCTTTGTACTGTGACAATGTAATAACAAATAAGCTGAAATCAAAATGAAAAAAAAAAAAAATTAATTCAAATATATACCACCTTAAACAATATTGTGTAATCACCATAGGTTTTGCCTTCCACACATATCCTTATTTTTTGGTGTTACTGCGTGTTCTTTATTTTCTGTCCCGTCTCATACAGGTGTGGAAGCAGATTTCTATGTGTTAATTTGCATTTTCTGTGTTGTCTATTTTTGCTGTTTTATTTTCTCTCTTTTCATGTGCTCTTTCCTGTCTCTATCTCTTTTTCTCTCCCCTTAGTGTTTATCCCCTCTCTTTCTTTCTCAACTCCCTTTCTGTCTCCGTGTCTGTTGTATACAATTTTAGTCCCTAAATAATTTTCTATAAAGTTTCATATAAAAGTACCTATCAGAACCTTGTGCAACAGTCATAATGGCTCAGGAAAGCAAATTTGTTGGGCTATCATCTAGCTCTGGGGTATATATTCCCAGAGCTCTATTGGCAAAACAGGACATAAAAAAAATAAATGAAAAATAAATAAAGTAATAACATAAAATTTGTAATTTGTCTTGACATTCCCGCTTTAAACCTGCTCTAAACTACCTTTTTCCTACAACAATAAGAGTAGCTAACCATGTAGTTGGCTCCATGCATTTCTGCACCGGTCAGGCCACCTGGGCTCTGCCTCCCAAATAAGATGTCTGAGTTCTAGCAGAGAACAGTATTTTTATCCACACTTCTTCTGGCTTAACCACAGGAGAGGTATTGTTGTTGAAAGGAATGATGTATGATGTTCACACTCTTCTGCTTATTTGTTGTTGGGTTTTTTTGTCTGTGTTTCTAAGGCAACTATCACAGAGAAATATACTTGGAGAGTTTATGGAACTTGGAACGGCTACCAAAAGACTCCTTCACTCACTTAATTGGCACTTTAAAGTCCTGCTGTACCAACATGAACAACATTCCAATAACTATTTCCAGGTTGTAACCACTGGCACAGATGCATTCAAAGTGTGCCAGCTTGTTACAGTCAGTCATTCTGATATTAACATTTGTTCCTGGTTTACATATTCCTTGTAGCTTTAAATATATGTTTCATACCTCATATCCTATGATCTTCTCAGTGGTTGACCTGGACAGAACTGGTTCCCAGTAAACCTCAACTTCAGAGGCAGACACAGACCGAGCCCATACCCCAGACGGGGCCACAGATGGCTCTGTAGAGGAAATAAGAATTAAACAATTTCAAGTTAATCACACGACCACACATCTTCTAGAATCTCTGTTTTCTTCCTCTAATGTGCCTGCTTACAGTGCTAATACCTCACCTTCCTCTGCAGTGAGCACTTTTACAATACGACTGAACGGCCCCTCTCCTATGCTGTTGTACACACCCACAGTAGCTTCAAACGGGGACAGTGGTGCAATGCTATCATTTCTGTACACATATCTGGACACATCTGCTGAAGCCAACACTGTCTTGATCCAGGTGCTGCTGCCGAGTGGGCGGAAAGCTATAAGATAGCCAAATTCCTCTCCACCCTGCTGTTCCTCTGGTACTGGCTGAGAGGAAGACAGAAAAATATACACCTTTGACCAAATACTCTGAACAGCAAATGAAGCAACCTAAAAACGTTTAGAAGCAGTGTCATCCCCACTTCTTTACAAAAACAATAATTTAATCTTTTTCAGAATTGTAAGAAAAATTCTCTTACATTTACTCCTACCGTTTGCTTTTACAAATGTGCTACATCAGCAGTGGCGCCTCCAAAAATGTTTCATAGGGGTGGGCAGATGGTGCCACTAAAAATCCTGGGGTTGCACACTGAGACTAAAAGCTATAATTTCAGGGTTTGAGTCTACTATTGTTGTAAACCTGCCTGTAGAACTCATAAAGACTTAAGTAAACAACTACTCATATCTCTGGTTTATTGTGTGATTTTTACTGTTATATCGCTGGCTATGCATAATGGGATGAAATGCTAAATTGATGCTAATACACTGGTGAGTGTAGTGGCCTGTGGGGTGGCCAGGGCATTGCACAGGATGGCCGTGGCCAACCCTGGCCACCCCTTCGGTTCCACTGAAAATTAGATTCAACAAACACTCTTAACTACAGTAAAGCCTCTTTCTAACTGATAATAGCGGGTTAACATGTGTTTTTCAAACATGGGTCAACCCGCTAACAATCGGCCTTTGGCCCCCTTCCCATTGCCAAAAAAAAAAGCTGGGTTTAACCCTTACTGCCTTAGGCCCCCCGCCGCTGCGTGTCCAGTGACACCATCATGCAGGGTTAGCATTGATGCTGTCACCAATGCGACAGAAATCAGGAAAGTAAACAATGGTTAGCAACAGGTAAGAAAGCCAGGGTGTAGAAAGTAAACTTTATTGTTTTGCTCTTTTATTTGACTGAATCTCTCTTACCAGTGCCCGGTCATTTTTATTGCATCAAAAAAGAGTTGTTTCCACTAATTAGATTAGACGCAACTGGCACGGTGTAAAGAAATTCACATGTTGTCCCCAGTGTTATTACGTAACCTGTGTGAAGGATGTGTGACGGAAACCTGTGTTTGGTGTTTCCACAGCATGCCTATCAGAGCCAAGGCGAGTTTAACACTAAAAGTAAAAACAATATGAAAAAAATAATTTGATCTGAGAAAAGTCAATCTAAACTACTGATGAAGAGTTGCAACATATGAAATAAATATAAATTTGCCCTCAACCAATATGGCAACATGATACAAAATCTCGTTTTAATACACAGGAACACCTAAACTATACATCACCATACCATGTCTGTAATCCCTTTATTTCCCTCTCCATCTCTCTCATGCAGCATAAACATAAAAATGTTCTACTCTAATTTGATTAATGCAAACAGACTCAAACCCCACAGACTGACACTCTGGGTAACCTGAGACCTTTAACCCCACACTGCTCCCCAGGCACCGCACAATGGCAGCCAACTGCTCCCAAGGGGATGGGTTAAATGCAGACAGTTCGTTGCTCTGTATTTCTTTGCTCTGTACTTGCGACAGTGTAATGACAGTAAGAAAGCTGAATTTCTTCCTAGTGCAGGGTTGAACTCTGGCATGCCTAGCCTTAATCAAATCAGTTTTTTGGTTCACTTTGAAAAGATCTCAGGTGAGTCAAGAAGAAAAAGGTTACTTGATTTGGAAACTTCAGGATCTAGTCTGTGCTTTTTGCTGATTAAATGGTTTTGTTGATACCTTCACAACATGACCTCAAATTGCACCTTAACAGTGCATCTGGGCAGTAGGGTTATACACCTGAGAATATAGTAGCCATGAGAGTCAGTTTCTCATATTCTGACCCAATAGTTCTTGACTGGATTTAGTTGGACAGCTCTCTCCTGGTTGTGAATCAGTCTCTGACTCAAGCTGTCCTTTAAGTCAAGCGTTCTAGCTTTTTTGACTTTGAACTTAGCCATCTAGTAATTTTTTTTGACACAGCTTGTTTTTGGACCTTTACCTGCCTCTGTTTTTGATACGCCTGTTTCCATTACATTTTTTGTGTTGGACCCCAGTGGATTAAAACAACCTTAAACATGATTCCACTGTGCCAGGTCTTGCATTTGAGTCCTCTATTCCTGAGCCATAAAACACAAGCAGAGGATTTTGTTCACTGCAAAAACGATCTGAAAATAAGAAGAAATTTCTTAAATAAAGTGTATTTACCCTTAATTTGAGCAAGTAAATAAGATAGTTTGCCAATGGAATGAGTATTTTTACAGTTAAAACGAGATAATTAGATAATATGCACTTGGAATAAGACAACACAATATTTTTTTTCTTATTTCAAATGTAAATTGTCTTGTTCCATTGGCAAAGTGTCACTTACCTCATCAATTCAAGGAAAAATGCACATATTTTAAGAATGAATTACTTATTTAGATTTAATTTTTTTGCAGTGTTGTCTTGCTCACAAGTGATAGTAGGCTGGAGCATGAGACAGATAGAGAGAGTGGGGTTGCATCTGAGTGGAGGATCTTAGAATATAGCTGGTTCTCATTCTCATTGGCTTCTCTTGAGGAAAATCATGCAATGAACCCCCGCAGCCTGACCTTGGACATAAAGAATGCAGTACAGGGACAGACGGACAGACACCAACAACGTGATTGTTGAAGGCAACTATTTTAAGTGGATATTACTCTACAATTTTATTACAGTATCATGCTTCCATTTGATAATCTAGTCTACATTTAATATCACAATTGTTGATGTATTTGTTCTGTTCTTTTCATCTCAAAGGTGTTTGTTGCTATATTGTGATGGAATCAGGAAATTTTCCAATTGAGTGAATAAACTGTTGCTTGATGTTTAAAGCTTCTTGCAATGTGTTGTCTGTTCTTTAAATCAACAGTTTAACCATAAAGGGGAATGCTAGGAATTTCAGATCTACAAAACTTGCCACATAAGTCCAGATTTACACCTTTCAACTTGTTCTGGCTCAGCATCCTCCCTAGATTTACACAACACAGGGAGTCAGCAGGTAGCAAATCAGAAAAGGCTCTGCTTTTAATTAAAAGCAGTCCCACCGAAGCCAGTCTACAGCAGGAACAGTAACTCTGCCAGAGTTCATCTCTCATCAAAGGGAGGACACTCTGCCACAGCGAACGCTTAGTCGAAAATCATCCACTCACCTCCCACGTAATGACAAGCTCTCCTCGAGCTCCCCCGCCGCCACTCACATTAACTGGTGCAACCTTGGGTGCTGAACAGGAAAAAAAAGGAAATATAATCATCAACAGAGGCAGGTGTACCTTCTGTTGAAGGCACACACCTTTTAGTAACTGAGCTGTGAAAAAGTGCTTGCTCCATAACAGATTTCTTCTGTTATGGGCTGTCAAACTTATGCTTCAAAGCATTCTACTGATTTTTATGTTAGACAAAAGATAACATGAATAAATGTACTAAGTGCTTTCATTTGTCAAGGGATAAAAGCATGTCAAACCAACCTGGCCTTATGTAGAAATGAAAATTCCCATCCAAAATTTAATGGTTTTAATCTATATAGGTTGTTTTTTTGGGCCTGACTGCAGCATGCATAACTTCAATTAAACTTGTCTAACAATATGGGGGGGGGGGGTTGGTTTGGGAAGTGGACTGCCATTGTGCTGCGCCTGGGTAGCAGTGTGGGGTTTAGGGTCTTGCTCATGGAGCCAGAGTGGCAGTCTGTGGGAGTGGGGCTTGAAATCAGAACCTCGGGGATCCAAGCGCAATGCCCTAACCACTAGGCCACCATTTCCATGTAATAAGCGGGCGTGTTGTGTAGGTCATCTACAAAACATTGTTGCGCAAATAATAACGTGCAAACAAGTTTGGTTCCAACCTATCAAAATGAGCAGACTGCTTATTCTCTAACTAGTTCAGATTGGTCGAAAAAAGAGATGAGTCTCTAAGTCATATCATCTAAAGTTCATAATGACAAAAAATATTTACATAATAATAATACATCTGATAAAGAATAATATTTATAGGCCACTTTAAACAGGTAGCCTTAGAATTAAAAAGAAAAGTATAATATATCAATATGTTGTTCTTGTGTGTTGATTACCCCAACCCCTCATTAAGAACATATACTATGTATAACACATAACCATTATACTTGATTATGGATTCTAGGGAGAAAAAAAATCCCTATTGCAATTAATATGAAATACCCACTATTAAACTGCCTGTCCTCCATTCCACTTTATTTGTGCCCGCATGCATAGATGTTTATTCTTTTTTAAATATAATTTTATAGCTCTCATTCCTGACAGTCCAAATATGTTTACATGCACAAAGAGTATCTCTCCATCCTCTGGCATTGTACTAATGCCTCCTTCATGGCAACAATGACTGCAGGTATTTTTGTGTGTGAGTTTGCATCTGACTTTTACAAGTGCTAAAAAAAGATGCTGATGAACCTCTGATTTGAAAAATCGCTTTGTCAGAAATGCTGCCATTTCACGTATCCTCCACCACTGAATTTTCGCAGTTTGGTTATAAGAATATTATCTGCATATTGATGAAGGCACACATGCACACGCACACAAAACGGTTTCGACATGCTGTTAGCTGAATTGCTTAAGCAAATATGGCTATAAATAAATTATGTACCTTCTTTGAGGATCTGCTTTGTGTAAAAACATTTTTGAATGTGTTTTAAGAAACTTAAAACTTCTTTGGCTCAGCCCCTGATTCAATATATTCAATTTTTACCTATAGAGAAATCGGGAAACAACGGGTTGTTATTGATTGTCCCTACCTTTCCTAACAGGGTACTTATCTTTGTTAGGGTTCTGTTTGTGGGGATTATTTTTGTGTTTTTACTTGTGTTTCTCCCTCCACCATCAGATCATGCCCTTTCCCCGTTTTTGGCTTGGAGGGCAGCTTCCGGTTTTTCCTCCTCACCTGCGGCTTGTTGGGTCATCATCAGAGGAGTACTTTAGCAGCGGAATGTCACCACCTCGACGCCAGAGTGTTTGCTAGTATTGGGTACTCTAGCCTCCTGAGATTAGCTGAGTCTAACTCTTGTGCTTTTGTCTCTCTAAGTTTTTGCCTTTGTCTTCTTGTGTTCTCTGGTAGAATTACCCCCCTGATCTGCTGGATAAGCCCGGTCCTTCTCCCCCCTTGGAAGGAAACATTCGTCTCACACTGAGCAAGGGGAAACCTTTACCTGAGCCGTTCAAGCCCCCTCTGGAATATCCGGTGACAGTCCGCTCCGTGCTCCTCTGGACCCGTCACTTGTCTGCCTGTCCACCCTCTCACGCGTACAATCATCATGGACAATCCCTCACAAACTGGACCCAGGGATCAACCATGAACTCCTTTAAGTGAGTCATTTCTGAAACATTCATCTGCCTCAATCTTTTTCCCTACGGGCCTTGAACTCATCATTGTGATCTCCCCCCTAGAGTTTCCAGTTCCGGTTCACCAGACCGCTGGATTCTCCTCTGAGAATACCTGTAAATCTCTCACTTTGAGTTTGTAATCTCCCAAATAAACCTGTTAACCTTTTCCCTTGCTCTCTGAGTAGTTCTCTGCATGTGGGTTAGATCTCTTAAACCCATCATGACAAGCTTTCTTTTATCCAACCATCAGGATGGAAGTTTTTCATGTTATCAGCTTCAATAGGAGCTCTTATTGTTGGTCTCTAAAAGGTGCATCATCTGATACTACATTTCTCATTGCCACTACCAATAATTAATACCACATAATTCAGAACAATTATTTCTGCATTACTCTTGACCACTTAAAATGATTGTCGCTTTATGTCTTCCAATTCTAATTTTCTATGTAATGTAAGAGCTTGCATGAACATTGACAACAGGTTTTCACAGACAGCAATTAGAAGCAGAGCTAAATAAAACAGGTAATTTTCCTTGTGGGGGCTGCCTAATTTTCTACGAATAGAAATAGCAACATAAGAGGGTACCTGCCGCTTTAGTTCGTATCTGCTCTGACGGTATGCTGGGTTCTCCAACACCAACACTGTTTATTGCCAGCACCCTGAATTGGTATTCCACCCAGGGGCTCAAATCTTTCACAGTAGCATGCATCATCTGTCCAGGCACAGGATCTGGAACTAGAGTTAAAGAATTGAGAATTGATAGGTGTTTGTTTCTGTTTTTATTTCAGAATGATTTAAGAAATATTTAAAATATCATATTTTTATTTATATGTAATATAAAATAAAACTGCAACACAATACAGATGCCACTGTTTTTTTTTTTAACATAAGATGTCAGGGAAGTCCTCAGTAATTCTACTCTGCATAGACCAATATAGCACAACATTTACTGTGTTGTTAAAACCAGTGCTGTTTTTGTAAAAGATGATGACGACAAAATTATTACACTGACGCTTCTTTTCAAGAAGATAACAATAACCAACAATCTAAACATGAATCTTTGCTGACGAAAACTTGAGAGTTATGGGTGCCAGTTTTAGTCAACGAGACGAGACTAAATGAAAATTAGCGGGTCGTCCGTCAGACATCTAACTGCAATCATTGTGCTGTAACCTGCTGAGCAGTATCAGACGTGCTGTTGTGTCCTGTTTGAACACTCAGCCCACCTGCCGTTCAGCGGCGCTCACTTTGCATGACCACAGATGGCAGGGTGAAAATTTTCCATTTTGCGTGAATGGTTGTTTGTCCCGTTTGTCTCTGTGTTGCTCTGCAATGGACTGGCGGCCTGTCCAGGGTGTACCCCGCCTCTCGCCCGTTGACAGCTGGAGATAGGCACCAACACCCCTCGCGACCCCAATTGGGACAAGCGTGTTAGATAATGGATGGATCGATGGGTCTCGGTGTCTGACAGAACACCAGTACTGCACGCTGAACTCAGAGTTTGCACTTCTCCCCCTCCACTTCGATGGTTCGCTTTCAGCAGTATGGCTCTTCCTGCTCTCACTACTTAATAAACTATATGTGGCTGATCATCATCTGCAAAGCGTAAAAAAAATCCCTTTGTCTAACTATCTAGATTTTATTTCTTCCAGCTCACAAGAGGTGAACCAAAAACCTTCTTTAACTTCTACAAAAAGAAATCTCTAAATTATCTCCAAAGAAAATATTTAATTCCATACTGTTTATTTTTGGATAACGAGCCAGGTGAAAAGATACATAGATCTTTGAATGTTTCTCTCTCATAGTTCTAGTTTCTATCTATTCAAATATGATGTAAAAGTTGCCTTGAATTGTCATTAAGACATTTTCTCTGTTTCCTTTAAACATTTCAACATTTTAGTACACATATTCATTAAATTTAGGTCCAGATTATCATTGCATTACAAGGCAATTATGTAGGTTCTCTCTGTATTTTTCTTGTATTGAAACCCTGTTAATTTGAATCTACTTTGACCCCTGAGCAGGAGTAACCGAGGGGTAAATTGAAATAAAAGAAAGAAAGAAATAAAAAAATAATTGCTGACGTAGAAAGAATAATTATTTTTGTTCTTTCTTTTTTTTGGAGCAATAGAGATTTTATTGATCTGTGTGTAATGCATAGTTCATAGTAGATCAGGAAGTGTTTGCTTTGGAATGGAAACCTTGTATGTTTAAAACCATGCCTTTATTGTACATTTTGTTAGCTTGTCTTGTATATTAACTAATGAGGTGAACTAGATCTGCTATTTTCACAGCTTTTGAGAAACACTTTTTTCTGCAGGGCAACATTCTACAGTATACCCAGCAATAGTAGTATCTAGGCAAGAGCTGTCAGTCTGGAGAATAATCTGGTTGGTATTTGAAATTGTAAAGGTTAACTTTTTTTGCAAATAAAACTGACTAAAACTAGACACACATTTTTTCAAGTTTTAGTCGAATAAAGCGACAAAAACTATCACATATCGTAATGACTAAAATGCGACTAAGACTAATAACTAAGGTAATAGTTTTCTTCCTGAAGACTAAGACTAAATCTAAGATGACTGTCAAAAACAACACTGGTTTAAACCTAAAGTAATTCTGTAGTAGAATCCATTATTTTCTAAAATAAAAATCACAAACACAAAAAAATATTTCAAACAGCCAAATATAGCAATATCACTCTTCCTCTAAAATTGCAATATCAGAAAGTTAATCGAAAAACTTTTCTTCTATCAGCTTTTGTTAAAAGTTAAAGTAACTCTTTGGTGAGTAAGAAATGGGTCAGTTGTTCTAATACATGGCATTTCCATACAATGCAGCTGGGTTTGAAAGCTGAAAAAATTGACAAAGACATTGTTGATGTCGAGGATTGATTATTTATAAGGTATGTTTCTACCATCTAAATCTGAATGACATTTTTTCATTTAATGATATGAATAACAAAATCTTACTGTGTCATTTACCTGTCCTCACAGTCTGCCAACCAACAGAGAAGGGGGTCCGAGCTTGCACAATGTACATGGTGATGGGACTGTGGTTGTCTGGTCCAGAGCCCCAGGAAAGCTGCACTGTGGTGTCGGTAATACTGGACACCACTGGGCTCTCTGGGGCACCAGGAGGTCCTGCAATGGACAAACATAAACAGAGATGCCCACATTAGCCTTATGGACCACAAAGTTAGTGTAAAAAGAATATGATTTCTGGTTAGCTTTGTGTATTATTCTGTCAGATTCTGCCACAGGTGTTAAGTAAATCATAACTTTGTGTTGGGATCTGGGGATCTGCCCCCCTTCTCCAGCAGAGGGCGCCCTGGGTCTCCTGAGCGGAAGCCACCTGCATACCTGAGGCTGATCATCCCATCAGGAGACCAACTATTTAAGCAGCGGCTTGACTCCTCTTCAGCGCCAGAGTGTTGAATAAGTCACGGTAGCCAACCTGAGCCAACCAGTCTGTCT